AATAAGGACTTAAGACAAAATATTAGTTATCTATTGCTAATACTGGGCCTTGAAATAGACACAGGTTGTGGCTGGGTTCTATTTCTTAGCACATCCTGATACAATCAATGGTGAACTACACCATTTGGTGTTGTATAGCACTGGGAGACAATAACTGTTGAGTTCTATTACCAGTTCTTCCAATGACTCATGGCATATATATCTGTTATATATATGCCAATATGAGCCTTGTGAGAAAAGATACAATTGATGGCATAATCTTCATCATAACAGATCTGTTTGTTGTTGTAATTTTGTTTGGCTAACATGGTGTATGTTGTTTTTGAATTCCTTACATTTTGTAGCCATATGTATTGAGGTGAACTTGAGGGGGGAACTTGATATCCAGAGTTCACATCTCACCTTGAACTTTACTGTCTTACAAAATTTATCATAACTATAATATTAGCTTAATATAGATGTGTAGGTTTTATATTTGCATAGAGAAGGAAGGAAGTACTAGAAGGCTCCTTCTAACTTCCAGAAGTCTTACTTTCATTCATTGTCGCACAGTGATCATTCTTAATTATTTGAATTTTGTTTCATTGCCATGCAGAAGGCTAAGCTGCATGAGTCATGAGCAGAAGCTTGCTTTTAATAAACTAAAAATATGGGAATAAAATCAAAGTGAACCTGAAATTGTCTGACTGTCTAGACCTGTAATGTCAAAGTGGTATTTACTGAAATTTACTGAATTGTCTTACTAATACTCTTATAGTACTTTCAGTTTTCCTAAGCGCTATGTCTCAACTAATTAATTGTTTAATGGGAAAATTTACTATTTAAGAAAAAAAGTTAAATAGTCACGTAACTATGTATCATGGGAAAGAATTGCAAAAGTATACTTTGGTTTTGATAGTGATTGTTAGTGCTCCATGAAAGAGAGAGACAATGGCACTGACGAGAGCCATACATAGTACATTTGGGTACTACGTTGCTGATCCTGAAAAAAAGCATGTGCATAACTTTACCATCAGTGCGACAACTCACATCATACAGTTATGCACATGCTTAAATATTTGCAGGATAAGGCAGGAACTGTGCAACCTTCTTTGCATAACGCACTTCGAAGCATGGATCTCCTTTTGAGCGGAAATTGCCAATTGTGACTAATTGTACCAAATTGTAGTGGTTATTGGAGACAAACGGATGCTAATATAAAACTATTAAACTAATTTTCATTTACTACTAACACCTACATTTTAAAGACAAAGTGAGTGAGATAATATCTTATATTGGACCAACTTCTGTTGATGAGAGAGGCAAGCTTTTGAGCTTACACAGAGCTTTTCTTCAGGTCCAGGTGACCTGAAGAAGAGCTTTGTGTAGCTTGAAAGCTTGTCTCTCTCATCAACAGCAGTTGGTCCAGAAAAAGATATTACTTCACCCACCTTGTGTCTATCTAATATCTTGGGACCAACATAGCTACAACAACACTGTTTGTTTTGAAGACAGTCTCCAGAGGTAAAAGGAGTGATCTGGGGTCTCTTCCTAGTGCTGCCTAGACCTTGGGTCTGATTCTTCTCTCTCATAATTGAACACTGCTGTAACTTCAATCACTACAATGGAGTTATTCATGATTAAGGCTACGTTTTAGTCACAGGTATTTTTAGTAAAAGTCACGGACAGGTCACGGGCAGTAAACAAACATTCATGGGCCCGTGACCAGTCCATGACTTGTACTATATAACCCTGACTAAATCTTGGGCAGTGAGGGTGGCCCGGGGCACTGCGGGTTCTCTGGGGGAGGGGCAGCCTGGGGGCACCGCTGTGCTCGGCGAGGGGGCTGGTGGAGCTGGCAGGCTCCCTACCTGATTCCTCATGGCTCCCCCTTAGGCAGAGGTGCGGCCAGACAGCTCCGCGTGCTGCCTCTGCATCGGCTCCGCAGCTCCCATTGGCCAGGAACCATGACCAATGGGAACTGCGGGGGTGGTGCCTATGGGCGGGGGTGGCACGTGGAGCTAGGAGCTGAAGGAGGGGCATGTTGCTGTTCCTGGGAGGGGGCCCCCTGAGGTAAGCACCGTCCAGCACCCTCCCACACCCCAGCCCTGAGCCCCCTCCCACACCCAAACCCCTGCTGTTGCTGGGGGCACGGCGACCCAAGAATGCCCCAGCAGCAGCCTGTGCGGCTGGCCAAGGGGCTGCCTGAGCTGCTCAGGCGGCCACTGGGCTAGCAGCACCGGCTGCTGCAGAAGTCATGGAGGTCACGGAATCCGTAACCTCAGTGACAAACTCACAGCCTTAGTCATGATTTACAACTGGGTGGGAAGGGAGTACTAGAGCTGGTTGAAAACTTTTCAACAGAACTATTTTCTGTTGGAAAATGCTGAGCTGATGGAATTTAAACATTCTGCGGAAATGTGGCTATTCCATCAAAACTTTTGAGGAAAACCAGGCAGGGAGGCAGACTGGCTGGCCCTGTTCAAGATGAAATTTTGCAAAAACTTGAATTTTTTTGGAAGAAAGGAAATTCTGCTTTCCAGCCAGCTCTGGTGGAGACCTTTTTGTGAGGGCCTTGGGAAAATCACGAAGACCAATGTTTTCAAAAGTGGCCCAATCCTTTGGGATGGGGAGGTGTTTAGCTTTTGGGTTTGATTTTGAGACTCCTTAGGCCTGATCTTCAGAGATACTGAGCATTTGAAGTCTCCTTTGTCTTCCACGGGAGTTGTGAGTGCTTAAAAGCTTTGAAACGCAGGCCCAAGAATCTCAAGTTTCACATCCAAAGTCCATGGCCACTTAACTTCTCTGTTGCTAAGATTTCTCATTTCTAAAATGCGGTCATAATATCATCCTCCCACAAGTGCTGTGAGCCTACATCAATGTACATAAAGCCCTCTGAGCTCCTCAGGCCTTGTCTACACTACAGGGGAAATTCAATCTAAGCTATGCAATTTGTAGCGTAACTGAAATTGACGTAGCTTAGATCCGCTTACTGCGGGGTCCACACTAGGCGATGTCGACGGGAGATGCTCTCCGGTCAACTCCCCCTACTCTTTTCAATCTGGTGGAGTACAGGAGTCCACGGGAGAGCAATCTGCAATCGATTTAGCGGGTCTTCACTAGACCCACTAAATCGACTGCTGATGCATCGATAGCTGCTCGTAGATCCCACAGTAAGTGTGGACAAGCCCTCAGATAGAAGATGCTATTTATCCAGAAGTGTTGGTGTAAATCATGATTGAGGCAAATCCATTGGCGATGTTATTAATGGACTATATTAGTTACTTTGAAGTGCTGATGTTCTAGTGGCTTTACTGTGCTTAAAAATAAAGGTACCATGTTTCTGCAGAACAGAAATGATAACCGCTGCAAAAGGTTAACCCAGTATATCTTATGCATCTTTTAAATGCTTGATACTTCTCAAGTCTCCACGCTCACTTTAGAGATTCAAGATTTGATTCAAACTGATTGTCCTTTTTTCACAATTTAAAAAATCAAATCTCATCAATTCTAGTGTATATTTTAGCTGTCAAATACTTTCCCCTGCATTTCACAATGATTTTCCTGAGTTCCTGGTTGAGAACAATATATAACTCTTGCTGTTTAAACTGCATGTCTTCTCTGAGTTGATGGCACACATTTTCCCTTTGAAGAATCTCTATGTATTATGCATGTTACTGTATGCCAGATCAGCTGAATGGCAGTTCTGCATATAGGGCGGGGAGGGAGTTCTTTGATTATTCTACATTGGATAGTGTCTGCTGCTCTGTTTAATCAGAGAACCTAGATGGCCATTGCATGCTGTCAGAACCCTTTTTCTCTTGCAAGTCCCAGAGACACTATTAATTAAAACAGTTTTCTCCCCCTGCCATGATTCAGGTCAGGGCAAGATCCCCAGTTTTGGGCCCCAGTCAGCCCCTCAACTTACACTGCCTAAATGGAAAATAAACCTAGCTACTCCTACTGCACAACCCCCTCACTCTCCAATCCCACACAGGCCCCCCTACATTCTAGCACAGCAGCACTGCCAGTACTCAGATGTGGCATTAGGATCTTCTTGGATCCAGCTATTTTTGTCCCTTCCTGTGCATTCCACTGTCTAAACACAGAACAAATTTAGCTGTTCCTACTCCCACCAAAAAATCCAGAAATCAATGCCTCTAAGTGCAGTGGTGCAAAATTCCAAATCGGGATCCTGTCAGATAAAATGCGATCTATATTATTCTAGTGTACTAGGAAATACTGCATATGTACTGAAGTTAGATGGTAAAGTTAGAGGAATGCAGCCCAAAAACTAGCCAGATCCAGGTGTTAACTTAGCGATTTGGGTAGAATAGTAGAAGCAAAATATAATCTAGTGTTGCTACAATTTCTGGTTTATGGTCAAAAGTTGACAGGCTCCAGAGCCTGGGTCTGTTTGTTGTGATACTGTTGAGCTGTTGCAGTGTAGGAGGGTCGATTCTGAAGGTGTGTGAGGAGCAGTTTCTCCTAGTCTCTCTTTAGACAGTGAACATTGGGGGCGGGGGAGGGGGGGTGTAGGATCCAGGTGTTGAGTCTGCAGGTTGGTCGCGGCCTCGGTGTGCAATGATGCTTAACGCTCTAGGTCTGTGTTTGTGCGCGGTCGCGCAAATCGGAGCCGCTACACTTGATCTCCCAGCAGTGGTATTTGCACGGAAAGGGGCAAAATTTGGGCAGGATCCAGCCGGGTGCAAGGGACAGATCCGGGTGGCTGCTGCGCGGATTACATTGGGATACATTAGGACGAGGGGTTCCCCCTGGGATCGGAGCCTCGAAGCGCCTCTTTCTCCATGTAGACAGCGCGGGGTGGGGCTGCTGAGCGCCAAAGCCGGCCGATTCCGGCGGGATCCAGCTTTTCCCGTTTTCCGCGGCGAGGGGCTTTTTGAAGGAGCCTGTCTCCACATTCCTGATTTGCTGGATACTGTGGAGGGCTCGTCCTGGGCTGGGCGGCTGCTGCTGACGCGTGGCCGCGGCTGCTGCTGCTGCACGTCCCTCTGACGTGTTGGAACCAGACCTAGACCCAGCAGAAACCCGGGCTCCAGCTCGCTGCAGCTGCTGCGCCGGTTTGCCAAGGTACCTTTTCCCGGCACCTCGCTTCGCTTCCCCCCTGGCTGCTAGTGTGGTTGCCGTTTTCTCTGCTGGGGGCGGGCGGGGGGATCTGCTCAGGGTCTCCGCTACCAGGGGCGTTTTGACTTTTTTTTTTTTTTTAAATCTCCTTTCGAGGAGCCATTTTAAAGTGATCAGTGGCTGGTGACGGGGGGAACTAGGGCGAGATCTGCGTGCAAATCCCCGGGTGTCACTTGCCCCTTCCCTCTGCAGCCCTGGAGAGCCGCTCGGATTAAAAAAAGCCATTGACCCGCCTGCCCTCCAGCTGCTGCGATGCGGCTCGCCAGCCAGCCGCTAGTCCGGGGCCTGGCTCGGATGGTCCCGTTGCTTTGATGCGGTTGTGTCAGCAGGAGGGGAGGTGTCTGATTGGGTGCCGAGCTGCTGGGTTTGCTGCTGTTGCCCGGGATCTTCCCGCTGACAGGCTGGGAAAAGCCTGGGCTGGGCAACGCGTGCCTGGGTAGAGGGCGAGGGTGGTTGGGAGGGGGCGGATGAGGGGTGTTTATACAAGGCATTTTATTCCTAGAGGAAACTTCTCTTTTATACAGGACAGCAGCGCCAGTGCGTCTGTGGGGGAAGTGGGGTGCGTGGATTGGGCTCTCTTGTAATGGCCCCTCCATAAAGCCCCCAAGCTGGGCAGCCCCCAGTAGAGTTGTTCCCATTCACCCCCTTGCGGAGCACAGCGGTGTGCCAACTGCATTGTTTACCTGGCTGGCGGGCCGTCAAGGGGCGTTGTTGCGTGCATCGTGTGAAGCCTGATGTGGTGGCGGGGATGCTTTTGCGAGTGAAGAGGGTTGGGAGTTAGCTGTCCATCTTTTTTCCCCCTCTTGAAATCGGTTAGGCTCTTCTTGTGCGTCTTCTTGTGGCGGCGGAGTTACTGCTTGTTGTTATCTGGCGCCCCCCGAGCCCCCTCCAGCCCGTGGCTTCTGCAATGCGGTGGGTGTGGTTACATAGTAAATTGGAGCTCTGGACCTCTGCAGTGGCAGCGCTGTCTCCGCTCTTGTTTTTAACGTTTCCAATTCCAAGGTTCCCTCCGGTTTCCCTCGGCTGCACACTGGGCTGGCGTCTTAAGTTGGGGAAGAGAGGTTCTTGCGATCGAAAGGGAAAGCTCAGGGGAAACAGATGGTATTAATCAGATGTGCGGGATGGGGGGAGGGTGGGAGAGAAATAAAGGGTCAGACAAGTTTTGCAATCGTGTAATTTGAGTACTTGAGTTTTCAGATGTGAATCCTGGTAGCCTTGGGTTGAAGTGTGTACTTGAAAGATGTTGCAGTGATAGATGTGTGCATGTACTTCACCGCAACTTAGACAGCAAAGATAAACCAGGTGGGCTAGAAAGTTTACAGTGCTGCCATACAGTTACAGTATTTTCATGTGTAGTTACAGAATTATTCATATTCTTTTGGTTTTACTCGCTTTAACGGGGAGCTTGAGGGTATTTTGTGGGATTTAAAAAATAGAAGAGGGAGTGGCTCTGTCAATCTCCTGGTAATAGGTTCTGTATTAAGCTGAGAACAGGGTATGTGGAGAAAGAAGGGATAGCCGGGAAGGGTATTTTTAATTGTTTTTATTTTGTCAGATATACAATTAACTTGAAAACTTACACTTCCATAATAATTAAAGTCAGTAAAATCAGTCTTTTGTAGTTTCTTTTTATTTTCCTTGCAGCGTCGTCATTTTATTGAAGTAATAGAATGTACTGAAAGACTAGCATTACTCTGAATACTACTTCTGAATGTGCCTAAACCTTATTTATACTTGAGGCAAAGATGTAACACACTTGCTAAACTGAACTTTGTGCATCGCTTTGAGGTAGGAACAAGCAAAAGTACTTGACTTGTAAGTTTTTTAGGGAGACGAACTGAAGAATCACAGGTCAAAGGTGACACGTTCCACAGTAGTAGTATCTCCTACGCGGTGAACCATTTACAGTTAAATAATCCAGAAATAAAGTAGGTTTTTTCACTCTTAATTTACTGTTCGACTTTGGTTAAGTTAATATAGTGCATTGTGGCTTGTTTAAATAAATATGGAAGATAATCTTTAAGTACAATATAAGAAGCAAAGCTAATCTTCCTGTGTCAATTAATTGGTTAAAATCATTGTGTGACAATTTGCTGCATCAGTATTTTTTTTCTTTCATGTTGTTGTACCAGTCTCGTTGGTTGGGAAATCTCCATTCTAACATGATGATGACATTTGCACATCAGGAATAATATAGTGGATGGAAAGAGAGTGATCACCACATTAGAGTGAAGAGCGACTGCAAGTTTATTCTGTATGATTCCATTAGAACAGGAAGTCTTGTGATTCTGTTCTGCTACAGCCCTGTTCACTGCAGTGGTGAATGATTAGTACCAGAGAACATTAGCTTAAACACATTGAAATATTTTTAATGTATCATACTTTATTTTTATTTAATATACTAATACGGCCAACACTGAATCTCCCTTCACCTAATTCATCTTACAGTGGCGTCCCCTTATTAAAGTGATGTTTAATGATGCAAGTGATGTTTTTCTTCTAAAGGGTTAGACAGTATTATTGGAAACTTGACAGGTACATTATAAGAGCTCATCTGATGTGAGTCTGCCTTTTATTTACTGCTGTGGCCTAAAGGCTTTGTCTTTGTCGTGAAGAAGAGAGGGGGTGCATGCCCAGAAGCAAGGAGAACTGTAGCAATGAAGTCATTGCGCTGCCTTGTGTTATGACATCACTCTGGCTCAAGGAAATGAGGGTGGGGCACTGAAAATCAGACTGTCTGAACCATCTTTGTTTTAACTTTGTGTCTACTAAATGAAAGACTGATGCAGCCTTGCCTTAGGAACTGCAGCACAGCTGTATGGTTTTTTTTTTTTTCAAAGGAGGGACAAGTAGAGGTGAATCTAAAGTTTGTGTATATTTACAAATAAAACAAGATGAGATGCGGGTTTTCATCTATAGTGGAAACCTGCAAAATACTTACCCTCGCTGAACAAAAATTTCCTCTAACAGGTATTTATGTGAGGACTTTGTTGTTTGTTTGAGGGCTTCATTGTTTTATAAATAATGTGACTATTCACAATCAGTTTGGAATATGGAAATGAATTCATTTCACATATTTTGTATTAGGTATATTATATGTTTTGGTGTATTGGAAATGATGTATTCCTTGTTAACATTTATGTAAAATGTCTTCCGTGTATTTTAAGTATTCATTTTGATTTAACTAACAGTAAAATAGAACTTGAAATGGGGTATTCATTCAGTGGGTAATATTTAAACTTGATTCATGTGATTCTCATGTACCAGTAAATGGTGGTATATGATAGGGAGGAACAATTAAAGAATTTTTAAAGTATGTTACAAAAGAACATTTGGTTCTTAAGATACAGTACATCAGCGGTATCAGTTACTACATTGACAACATTCTCAAAAGTACTTGCTTTTACAACCATGAAGTTTTTTTCCTTTTGAAAAACGGAATATAGGTCTAATTCTGCAAGTACACGTGACTAACCTTGAGTAGGTCCATTGAAATCAGTGCGGCTACTCATTTAAGTAAGGATGTGGTTCTTTAAATGTAGATGACAATGTTGTGGTATATTTTGTTTCAGGATCCTATTTATCACATTTTATACTGGCAAGACATTCCGCTACTGAAAAAATATTTGAATTTTCAGTGTGTTCTGGTAGGGCTTTGACCTCCCTTTAATTTAATGAATTGATGATAAATATGAGTATAACTGTGAAAAATGTGGTTACTTCCCAGCTGCACTGAGAATTGAGTGATGGGTTCCTGAATAGGGTATGTTAATTCTCTAGGTGAATTGTTTTATACTAGATATGCAAGCTGTGGAACGTGCAAAAAAGTCTACAATTATGGAGAATAATATGATAAGAATGCTAAATGAAAATAGATTTAGAAAAGGGTAGTTAATCACTGAGATGTTTACTGCAGTAGCAAACTTTTTTAAAGACTTTATAGTTATGAGCAGGTTAAAAAAAATCCTGAAAACTGTCTAACATTGAAAATAAATTAACTTCTAACCGCTTTTTTTTCCCCCAATTTGTGGTGATGAGGGAAATGTTGACTGATTAATTTCTGAAATTAGTTATTTAATATATACTCCTATGTTCACTTGTATAAACAAGAGGTCTGGCTATAGTTCTGATTCCACAAGCTTGTAACTAAGAGGAATCGTATTGATTTTTCCATATTATCAGAAGGTCCATATGTGGGTCATAAAAGGACATGAACACTTCCTTAAGCAGGGCTTCCATTTCTTACCCTGGCAATGGACCTAGCACTTGAATTATCTAGTGAGAGACTCCTAGATGTGTAATAGGAAAGAGGCTGACCTTCCAAAGCTCTTGACATCTGGGAGCAGGAACAGCTTGGGTAGCGAGAAGAAATAATAGCTAACTTATCAGTCTGCCTTCAATAAGAGAAGTCCTGCAGGCTTATTGCTCCTGCCCCTGCCATTACTAATGGTTGTCACTATGGGCATTAGTGCAGAGGAATCTCAGGAGGAATGTGCAGAACTGAATGGCTGGAAAAAAACCCAGAAATGGGGTCACCGTATTTGAGACAACTGAGTTAATATGAAGATGATGTGGAAATGTCTGGATGCAGATTCAGTGTTTTCCCCCTTACAAATAACTGAATAAATAAACTCAAATAATTGACTTTTTTTCTTTTAACCTAAATTAAAATGTAATGTTCACATTTTGCCTGGTCATTGTTTGTTTATTATTCTGTGGTACCACCAGAACTAAATGATTATATTTAATTCTTGCTTTCATGAACATTCCATATCTTAGCCTTCTAAATCACTTGTGACTTGCTTTGGGTGCAGTCAGTGAGATACAATGTATGAAAAGTGCTACATAAATAAAATGAGGCCTGGGTGAGTGTTTCCTGTCTGTAGGGTGCTTATATGAAATATTTGTTTTCACTTACAACCTTCGCAGTCTTCCACCACCCTCTC